CTAATACAAATGATGTGGCACTATTCCTCCCGCTAACGCCAATGATGGGGCACCCTTCCTCCCATTGATACCAATGATGGGGCACTATTCTTCCAGCAGACACCAATGATGAGGCACTATTCTTTCAGCAGACACCAATGATGAGGCACTATTCTTTCAGCAGACACCAATGATGAGTCAGCATTACTCATAATACAAATGATGTGGCACTATTCCTCCCGCTAACGCCAATGATGGGGCACCCTTCCTCTCATTGATACCAATGATGGGGCACTATTCCTTCAAAAGACACAAATGATGGGTCACCATTACTCACTGATACCAATGATGTGGTACTATTCCTCCCACTGACACCAACAATGGGGCACGATTCCTCCCACTGACACCAACGATGGGGCACAGGGGCAGACTGACAACTCATGGGGCCCCCGGGCAATAGGGGATCATGGGGCCCGTGTCCTTGGCCAAACTCAAAATAGTCTATGAAAAAGGTACCAGGGACATCTCATGGGGCCCCCTACTGACCCCGGGCCCTTGGGCAGTGCCTGACTTTCCAAATGGTCAGTCCGCCCCCGATGGGTCACTATTCCTCCCACTGACACCAATGATGGGCACTATTCCTCTCCTGACACCAATGATAGGGCACTTTTCCTCCGAATGATAACAGTGGGGGCACACTACTTCTCTTATGGACACCAATGGTGGGGCATAGTTAGCAATGCAGGGACATTTTCTACTCCCAATGGACACAGTCCAGCCCCTCTGATGTCTGCAGGAAAGTAAACTGGTTCTTTGTTTAGAAAGTTTGGAGACCCCTGCTCTAGAACTTATGGTTTCTAGATACTTGTAAATATCAAAATACATTGGACAGCAGATACATGTACACACATAAGAATATTTATTGATATATTGTATCAATTATACAAACCATTTAAAATAGATTTTACTTTGCTATTTACATATACTTTTCCATTTTCAAAGGGAAGGTTCTACAGATAAACGGCAGAGCTCTGAACTGTACAAATATACAATCATAATGTACACAGTGTTACATAGTTATAGTGGGGACACTGGCAGGACATGTGAATTGACAACACCTTACAGAATTTTTTTTTTTATACTTTTTTTTTTTTCACAGATGTATTACATGAAGGCAGTGTTGTGATGGAATCACGGAATGTTCTCTTTATCAGTCTAATCATCATAGCTCCCATGACCCATATTTCTTTTGCTTATTTACAGCAATAAATGCACACTTATTGCATCAAATGTATCTTGAAAAAAATGTCCAATAATAATTGGAAAAAGACTTGTTCATTCATCTAAAAAACTCCCAATAACTGCAGACTGCAAAAGTATTAGAATTACAAGGACAATAGTGAGCAAAATCATGGCGTAGCTTCTTTTACAAAATGTACAATATTCATAACCTCATTTTCCTCGTATTTCTCTTTGCCCTGAAGATAATAGTAGACATCACAGTGGGGGTCTTAAGTGGTTGTCAACTCTTACATATACCAAGTAAAGTGACTGGCCTTAGAGGATACACAGAATAAACATTCACATAAGTTGTAGCTGTTTAGCTGTAGCATTTTTTCTCTATAGCCCATCAAAGTACACTGATCAAAGGCTATTTCTCAGCTGCAGAAGGCAGAGGACTGGAATCTGATGTCACCATAAAGAATAAAGCAGGGAGCGGAGTACAAACTGAAACCTGAGTTTAGGGATTGCCACACACTTATGAGGAAACATGCATCGCTGAGGCTGTCAATCACCTGCTGTGTGCTGTGACATGAGGGTGGGAACATCCCCTTGGATTCTCTAGTGTTGGCATAACCGGTTAGAGAAGTGACTCATGTAGATAGCAGAGCACAAACAAAATCACACGTAATGCTTTGGACTGAGGCTAGAACACACAAAAGGATATGCTTTGTTCATTTTTCATTTCATAAGTTTACAAACCCAATGGTGTCACACTAATCTAAGCTTTTTTGGAATTTGGCAGAAGGTGAAACCTTGCCAGACTTGTATCAAACAATCAAAATCAGTTGGGCTCAAGGATTCCAATAATTCATAACCTTTAGGGCCAACCCAGACTTTTATGTATTCACAGACTATTATTATACAGGATTTATATGGCACCAACAGTATGTGCATATAAATAAAGGGGACAGTACAGTTACAATACAATTCCAAACAAGAGGGTTTAGAGCTTGCAATCTATCAGTTGTGCAAAAGTGAATAACTGAAGGATGAGAATTAAAAACTCAGTTATTAGGTGGAGGCAGGATAGGCTTTCCTGAAAAGGAGTTTGCAGGAATTGCCTAAAAGGTGGACAGAGTAGGGGATAGCTCGACAGGATTTGATTGGGAGTTTCAGTGGATGGGAGAGGCTCTGGAGAAGTCCTAGAGACAAGCATTGGAGGAGCAGACAAGAGAGCTAGAGAGCAGGAGGTCTTGGGAGGAGCAGAGATGATGGTTTGGGTGATATCTTAAGACAAGATTGGTGATGTAGCCTAGGACAGTTGTAAATGGATTTGTAGGCTGACTGCAGCAGCATGTAATTGCACACGGAGCAATTACCTGTGGTTCGGGTCAGATGATCGCCCTGAACACAAGCCAATTGCTATACCCACCTGTGAATCCAGCCACAGGAATCAATTGGATTTGTGCCACAGCTGCCATATATTTGCAGTGTGAATGAGGCCCAAGCCGATAGGCTGGAAAATCATTTGGAGATTCCTATTTTTCCTATCCAAAAGAGATAATCAGGCAAATATCGGGTCGATTTACTAAAAAAATATAAAATTAGGTGCAGTTGAGCACGGTAGCCAATCAGCTTCTAACTTCAACTTGTTCAATGAAAGTAGAACTTCACCCAAAAGGGGATGTTCCGCTTGTCTTCATCCTCCCCCCTTCCCCTCCTCTGTAGCAATTGACACTTTCTGGAATGGGAGGAGCGGGTGCCTGGTTTTGACAGGTACTCAGTCTCATTTCCAGTTGGATTGCCTGTGATCCAAGTGGAAGTTCACCACCCCCTCCTCTGTAGCCTTCTGGGACACTTCACAGGTCCCAGGAGACTGCTGGACCTGTCACGAAGCGCAGTAAGAAATTAGCTGTGAAGCCGCAAGGCTTCATTGTTGGTTTCCCTTAGCCAAGATGCCAGTGCCAGGAACCTGATTGAAGAATTGGCACGTTTGAGGATAGTGCTGGATCCCTGGACAGGAAGTGTCCTTATAATAAAAAAGGCAGCAGTCACAGTAGTTGTAGCTATTGACTTATTTCTTGGGGGGGGGGTTAGAATGGAGCTTTTTTTTTTTTTTTTTTTTTTTTAAGTTTTTTATTTCAGGTACTTCTATAGCGCCATCAACTTACGCAGCACTTTACAAATATATTGTACATTCACATCAGTCCCTAACCCTCAAGGGGCATACAATCTAAGGTCCCTAACTCATATACACACACACACACACACACACACACACACACACACACACACGGCCAATTTAGACAGGAACCAATTAACCTCCCAGCATGTCTTTGGCGGTAGGAGGAAACCAGAGTACCCAGAGAAAACCCCGCACAGGGAGAACATGCTAACTCCAGGCAGGTGGTGCCGTGGTTGGGATTTAAACCAAGGATCCTAGTACTACCAGCCGGAAGTGCTAACCATTAAGCCACTGTGCTGCTTTGACAAAAACAAACAAAACTGGAAGCCGATTGTTTTCTCTGCAGAACTGCAGCAGATTTTGCACTCCCCAGTTTTAGTAAATCCTCCTCAATGTGTATAAAAACTTCATCCAGCAGGGGCGGACTGACCATTTGGAAACTCGGGCACTGCCCGAGGGCCCGGGATCAGTAGGGGGCCCCATGAGATGCCCCTGGTACCTTTTTCATATGCTTTTCTGACTTTGGCCAAGGACACAGGGGCCCCACGATCCCCTATTGCCCGGGGGCCCATGAGTTGTCAGTCCGCCCCTGTCATCCAGCATGCATTATAAATTGATTATGAATGTCCAACAGAAAAAAAGTGATTATAGCTGTATTCGTGCATAACATTCTGCTAAAACTTTGTGATTTGTATTGTACTGCTTGGACCTTGAAGGGGACACTCCCCGAAAGCTTGTCCTCAAAATTGTATGTTAGTGCAAATAAAAAAAAAAAAAAAAAAAAAGTATCACGGACAGTACAATTGTTTCTAACAGAAAAAAAGAAAATACAGGTCTGAAAATGTTTGACAGGGAGATCAGAAGTCCTCTTGTACATGCTCCTTACACCCAACATTCCCAGATTTTGATGAACTACTTCACTTTACGGCTTAACTGCTATGAGCACAGATCGGTTTATTGTGATTTCTGCAATTAGCAATGAGGTGCTTCTGTATTGTCCCAGCATGGAATGTCTACTACACACATTCCATTACCCTCATAAAAATGCATTCCTCCCAGTACACACAAGGGACCAGCTTGTGAAAACACAGAGCACCTAGACAATGCCACAACAGTGATATGTGCATTCATTCCAATAAGCAATGGTAAATCACTGATAGACTTTCCTTTCACTACTGTGTAAGATCTACTCCATGATGAAGCTGAAAGTTCGAGATAGAATGCAAAGCCGAAGAACTCAGCAACAAGAGAGGACATGTCTGATAGGAGATAATGAACAGATGAAAGCTGGAGGCTCTTTAGATCTTCCTAATGTGTGGGGAAGCTTATCACACAAAAGCAGCTTCACGGTGATAAGCCAGGGTTTTTTTTTTTTATTTCACGCCTCATTTTCTAAGTTGCGGCTCCAACTTTAGAAGCAGTTAAGTAAATCATTTAGTTACTGTGTTAAAAGAGCAAGCAAAAAAAAAAAAAAGTTGATATAGGCAGTTTTAAATACACGGCATTCCACCGCCAAGTCAAAACGGCTAGAATGTAAAACAGAAGTGTTACAAATGTTGAAGTCATGTGTCATCATATGTTGTGTGTCATCGTCTGCCAAGCATTGCAGGTATTACAGAGAGTCTGTTCTCCTCCTTGCAAACACCGCCGACATGCTCTTCACAATGCCTCGTATCCCCGTCCCCTTCTTGGTCACCAGCTTGGACTCCTTAATCTTATCCACCAAGCCATGGAAAACCATAAGAACGCCATGGTAGGCCTCGGCTGCTGAAACTTCATAGAAGTCGCAGTCCATAGACAGAGCCAAAAGCCTCCCTTCTTCGCTGGAGACAGTTCGTAAGTGATGCAGATCGCGTTTATTACCCACAATGACTATGGGCAGTTTCTCTGGTCCTAAGCAGTCTTTGGAAGCTTTGATCAGTTGGATAGTCTGGCAGATAATATTGAAACTGGCCCGGTCACAAATGCTGTAAACCAAGACAAAACCATCGGCCCACTGAATGCGCTTCTCCTCCTCTGCGCAGCTTTCTTCAGTTGGCTCCTATGGCAGTTTAGAAAATAAAAAAAAAAAAAAAAGTAATTAAAGAGCAAAACATTTTAAAATTTATAGATCAATGGATATAGTAAAACCCTTCCTGATCAGGAGCAGATTGGTCAAAAATGCACAAAATCAGTTTTTTTTTTTTTAACTTTTTTTTTTTACTCTATTTTCTTTGTAATACCAGCATTTTCTACCCCTCCCCCCACAACACTAATGCTTGATTCTGTAGAGATTCTCAGCTCCTTACTCTACCTCAAACCCCTAACCCCCCCCCCCAAAAAAAAAGGGGGCACACAGCCACCCTACCCCTTAGCGTAATCCAGTTTATTAAAAACCAACCATAAGAATCTGCACAATATACACTCATATTCCATGTAGAAAAAGGCATGTGTGTCCACACCATCCACTCCTAATGGTTGCTGCATGATCCGGGTAGTATGGATACTGGGAACCCTCCCTCTGACAGCTGCAAGGCCACTGGAACTAGTCAGCAGCATGGGAATGATAACGAGCATGCGCCCAAACCTGATGGTGCCACACCACGTAGCTGTTGGTTGTAGGGCAGTGAGAAGCTTGAGGTGCAGGAGGAAGACAGACGTGTTGTGGTTGCCTACACAATGCATTTTGGAGGTGTGGCCTCCTTTATTAAGTCACCCAGTGGACCTTGGTTTAAGTAGGGGAAAAGGGGAGTATCTGACCTTGGTTTAAGTGGGGAACAGGGAGGGGAGTATCAGTGGCCCTTGGGTTAAGTGGGACTGAAGGGGAAAAGGGGAGTATCATTGGACCTTGGTTTAAGTGGGACTGAAGGGGAAAAGGGGGAGTATCATTGGACCTTGGTTTAAGTGGGACTTAATGCACACGAAACAACAATTTCTTATTTTGCCCCCCCCCCCCCCCCCCCCTTCCTCTAAGACTCCTTTCACACGGAGCAGGCTCTGTTTTGATCAGTGGGGAACCTGGCCACTAATCAACAGAGGACATGGACAGAGCCAGTCTAGAAGGCTACCCTCCAATTCAAACTGCCTAGACGGAAGGGGACAGTGTTTTTTTTTTTTTTTTTTGAGCGCTCAGGATTGGAGGTAGACAGATGTAAAACAAAAGTCAATTACACCTATCAGTCCATAGGAGTGACAAGACCATCCAATAAAGTGCGCCTGAAAAACAGACAGGTGGACCTGATCAGACCTCTCATGTGAAAAGGGCCTTACAAAGATACTAAAAAAACTTATTGAAATGGTTACCATTTAGATGCATTTTGCACTGCAAAGCAGCACTTCCTGACTACATCATAGCTATCCCAGATGGCAGTAGGTTACTCAGCCGCAACAATTGCGTGACATGTGTGCAGGATTTCTGCACATGCTCACAAATGCCACTTGGCACTATTTCCTCATCTATCAGAAGGTGGGGGCATTTGTGTAGAAATCCACCATGTGTGCACAGATGCGCTGCCGTTTTCTTCCAGCAACAAAATGCCGGAAAGACCAGTAGCACATGCCTGGGCTTAAAAATGGCAGTGAAGGGTGGAGATTTAGGAGCCACTTAGTTCCGCTTTAAAGTGGAGATTCACTCTCAATCAACATTGGCCATTTTTAATCCTTATGGTGCTAGCATTAGTAAATAGATAGGAAAGTATATTTACTTGTTTTTTAATTTTATTATTTTTTTCTTCACTTACTGGCAGACCTAGGCAAAATAAGTTCTACATCCCAGAAGTCTCCAGGAGGGGCTCTCGGTTAAGCACACCCTCCTGCCTGCATGCCTGAGCCAAGGACAGATAAATTCCAGGAAGTAAATGCTACCTGGATCATCTGCCCTTACTAAAAATGGCCACAGCCAACTATTGGGGGGGGGGGGGGGTGTATTAGTCAAAGTAATTTCTCAGCAAAATACGCATGGAGGCATGGATGGGGGGGAGTTTGAGCACCACAGGCTAAAATGGTTTTAATCCATTTTAATATTCAGAGGCAGTGTGGTTCTGATTTAAAAGTGGCTGTAAACCCACATACACCCAGTGAAGAGCCTGGCCTCAGGTGATATACAGATGAAACAAATCATCCTTCGCAAGTTATACCTCTTGTCTAGTCATCTTTCCCGTACATCTAAAATGCAGAATTTAAATTGGATCTCAGCTTTGAAAAGCAAGGGGCGGGGACCTGAAGTAACGTCATTGAGGAGAGCTCTGAGAGCTGATGGGAGGGGAGGGACACACCCCCTCCACACAGCAACAGAGCTGAGGCCATCAATCACAGGCTGTGCCCTTTCCTGTCACCATTTTTCTCTTGGTGTCAGGAAAACTTATCAGATGTGACTCATACTGAGAGGAACAAGGCAGCAGACAGAAATTACACTTAGTGCTTTGAATTGAGACAAGCAGACACTAAAGAGGGATATGCTTTGATCATATTTCATGTCTGAGGTTTAAAACTGGAAGTAGAACTATTGCTACAGAACTATAGGGCTTATGCACACAGGTACAATCCTCGCAGAGTAAAAAAAAGACAGTTTGTTTTTCATAACTATATCAGTCGTGTGCCCCTAAGGGCTCATGCACATGGGTGTATATCTACTTGCATTGTAAACAAACTAGCATATTTTTGTGCTCAGGAGCCCCTGTTGCTGCATACTGCCCATAGACATGAATGGCTTTATTGGGCTGTATGCAGGCAAGCAATGTGTACCGTGATGCATGCGCATAGACGCAAGTCCCTGAGCCCAGCTGGCCTACAACCATTTAGGTTTGTTTATGGGCATCTGCAAACTGCACCACAATATGCCAGTTTGTTTCCAATGCAAGTAGATATGCACCCATGTGCATGAGCCCTTAGGAGCACACGGCTGATATAGTTATGAAAAACTGTTTAGGAAAGCTCCTTTGTTGAATAATTCCAGTAAATTCTTCTACTCATTTTCTTTAAAGGGGTGCAGAGAACCAAAAAATAGTTGCCTAATCCTCTGATCCTCCCAGCACAAAACCGGTCCCTGATGCTCCTGTACCCCTGCAGTCTAGCGGTCTTGTGTGGTGGTCTGTTCCTGACATCACACCCATAGACAGTCTCTAGATGTGAAGACAGCAGGAACAGCCCACTCCTGGATGTGGGGGAGCACTGTTTTCCAGAGAAACAAAAGATCAGGTGATTGCCTTTTCTCTGCACCTCTGGACAAAATGTGCAATCAACCCATGCAGTGCGGCCACAGCCCCATTGCATATGGAAAAAATAAATCCCAGAATCTGCTTTAATTGCATGAATTTAAAAAAAAAAAAAAAAAAAAACAAAAAAAAACAAAACAAACAAACAAACAAAAAAAAAAAAGCTGCAATAGGTTTGTACTTTTTGCACAATGCGTTCTCTTTTTTAAGTAATGGTCTTTTAATCCAATGTTCCAATTGTTTAATCTAGCACATTCCTCACTCAATCACAGATCAAAATGGAAAAATATTTGAAGAGTTTTCATGACATTCTAGTCAGATAAGGAAAATTCTAATCACTGGGCTTCTCTTATCTCCCTCGACATTCTATACACGATCAGACATGGGTACAGATGTTTTAAAGCACTCGTGTTTTTCCATCAGCTAAAAGTGCAGTCTCTAAAAAGCTCAAATCACACAAGGATACCCGTTTCTTGTAATATCAAGTAGGACAAGGAAAGTCATTGAGCAGACCCCTAGTAACATAATTGCTACTTCAGTAGTAAAATATTAAGCATCCAGTGACTTATTAAACAAGATTGTTGTCGGTGTCATGCAACTGTGTACACAAGTGCCCCTAGGCACTGATAGTGTATCATGTTCTTTTTTTACATTCATTGTTCAATTCATATTGGAGTAGTGATTTATAAAAGCGGATACAACAGTGGAGCTGATGCTCATAGTAACTAATCAGATTCCTGGTATAGGCAAAAGAATTCCCATGCAGGGAGGGGGGAAAAAAAAAAAAAAAAAAAAAAAAAAAAAAAAAAAAAAGTCAAGTACCGTATATCTCTCCTTTTGCTCCCCTGACACTTCATGCAGTTGCCAGAGCAGAAGAATCCACCCTTTGCAGGCTATGAGCTTTTAAAGCTGTAGCTTACACAGACCTATGTACTCTACCCAGGTGACAGCACTGGTACGTATTGTCACAATGCTGGGCCAATCATTAAGTGTTGGCTCTCCCTTCTCTCCCCTGCAGCATCCGCTTACTGATAAGGGTGAGGGGAAGGAGGTGGTTGGAACTGCAGGATCATGTGACTGGGATGAAGTGGATTAAAAAAAAATATATATAGGCAAGTAGACCAATTTTTATACAGGCAGGATAGGTAGGAGTTAGGAATAGTTAGAATTAGGTTTTTCTTACACTTTAAAGTTGTTAAATTTTATGGAGAGGGCCATCACTTCATCTGGTTTTGAAGTGGTTGTAAAGGCTGAAGGTTTACCTTTATGCATAAAAGTAAAAAACAAGCATTCAGTGTGCAGCTCCCCTCTCAGCCCCAACTACTACTTGAGCCTGATATCGATGCACTGATGTGCATGAGAGCAGTAGCTCTCCTGGTTTCTCCCTCATTAAAGCGACCTGGAAGCCAATAAGGGAAGAGCGGGGCCGAGCCACACTGTCTTTTAGACAGAGTGGAGCTCAGGAGCTAGCGTGCCCCCAGAGCACACAGCTTGGTGGGCACTTGGAGGAGCTAGGAGCGCCAGTGGAGAAGAAGATCAAGGCTGCTCTGTACAAAGCCACTACACCGCCCAAGTATGACATGCTTGTTATTTAGCTATACTAGGTACCTGGCTGCCTCTGGCTAACACTTTCTTATAAAACCAACCATAACAAGTATGCAACCAGTGAAGTCAGAACTCCTCATCAGCATACATGTGTTCAGTAACTGAGGAAATATTGAAGAAAGAATGTCAGCCAGGCAACTATTATTACCAGAAGGAGTGGTTATATAGTTGACCATGTTCTTCTCTTGGAATTAGTTTCTGGTAAACATTTTAGGCGTTTTGTTCTGTATACCAGTAGTTTCAAACGGCAGCCCTTTGCTTACTTTAATCCAGCCATTGGGGCCCCATTTCACTGATACCAACGAGGTGACATAATTCCACCTCCACTGACACCAAATGAAAAGGCAAACCTCCTCCCAAAGACACCAACAACTGGGCTGAATGACACCAATGATGGGGCACAATGTCTCCAACTGAGAATGACGATAGGACAAAATTCCTTCCTTCCAATGACACCAATACCAGTTATGGGACACAATTCCTGACACCAAAGATGGGGCATTTTCTTCCCCACTTATCAGGACCTTTTCTACTACTCCCAATGGCTACACTCTGGCCCAAAAAAAAAATAAATTTACACATGGTTTTCTAATATAAGAATTATATTTTTGCACAAAAGATTCTACCAGGAGCATCACCAGCTTAAGATTCCATTTTGGAAACCTACACCTATTGTTTCCAACTTCATCTCCTGACAAATTCAATGGTTGAATTGTGCCTAAACTCCGTATTCTCCCTAAACCCCTCCCAAATGGTGATATCAAAGCTGCAAGGAGGATTTTGTGTCAATCATCTCTGCTCCTTATGCCTTCATCAACCAGCCAGACTAACCTTACAATGGAACCAACTAAGAACATAGTTTTCAATGGTAGTAGCATTGTTGACTAGTTGGAGAGTTCTGATATTTCACTACATATGCAATAACACAACAACCAATGTCAAAAAGACAAAAGAAAAATAAGAGATTCTTCCTACTCCTTAGTTGAACCAGATAATATAGATCAGCTCTACAATGGATTGGTTCAAGAGGGTCTCTTATGGATTTTGTTTGCATGTAAGCTGCATTTCAATGTATGGTTAATCTTTATTGTAAAAAACATTTTGCTTAGTTGTTATTTCACTCCATAGTTCACCAGCCCATCCCTGAAAAAATCCACCAAAGGCTGAACGTCAGAACAGTAGAATCAGTCCATCAGCCACCACACCAGCCTCTCTAAACCAGGCCTCAAAAAAGGTTCCTCAGACAATGTCTAGAGGTTCCTTGACCAACTTCGGTCAGATATGCAACTACTGACACAAATTCTCTTTTTAGCCATCTGTAAGAGGGCATTCCTTCACAGACCATCAATGTAAGAAACATTTCCCCCCCAATGGCCATCACACCAATGTACTATGAAATTATATAGTAATTTACAGGGGTTCCCCAAGACCTGAAAGCTCCATTAGTGGTTCCTCCATGTTAAAAAGGTTGCCTGCACCACCCTCATAAGATACACTGCACCAACATTGTATAACAGGGGTCTCCAAACTTTCTAAACAAAGGGCCAGTTTATGATCCTTTGGACTTTAGAGGGGCCAGACTGTGGCCATTGGGAGCAGAAAAATGTCCAGGTATCAGTATAACCCATTGTTAAAATGTCAGTGGGAGGAATAGCGCCCCGAGGCACTATAAAGGCAAGAATAGGTTGCAGTTTGGAAACCACTGCTGTAGGTCAGCCTTCCATCTGCCACAATGTGGTAGATAGCCATCCAATGCTCCTCTTTTCTGATATGTAGATTGTCCATAAACAACCCCCCCCCCCCCCCCCCCCAATGACAAAATGTTATACTATTCAGTTTTGCTCAGATGTAGAATGAAAACTACAAATGTAATCTGATGAGGTTCCCATTCAAGTGGGAAGATTAATAATTCGGATCACAGCTCCAAAAAAATCACATGACCTTCTAAACCACACTGACTGCAGCTGCAATGCAGATATGTTAAAGCCATCTATAGGGACTAATTCTATTTCAAGAATCATGTTAATCCCCCAGCTGAAGACGCATGTGTAAACTAGAGTTTAAGAATGACAGATGAAGGCCAGAAGAAAGAAGTGGCTCCTAAATGGTGAGACCGCAAGTCCGGATGGGACAGTTACTAGGTCCTACTCTGGACCTGAGTCTGCCATTTAAAATGATGCCTGGCCTCCAAAAACACACAAATATAATTATACCTTCCTATCTATTTACAAATGCTTGCAGTATAACTAATGAAGTAGTTCACGTTGATTGAGAGAGCTTAATATGAGTTACTAAACTCAATAGGTGTGTGGACAAATATGATGAAAGATTTTCCCCAATGCAAAGTACATAGACACTTCATAAATCTCCATAAGCCACATCGTGGAAAATAGTTGGGTAAGCTGGTGAAGAACTCACCTTTGAGTACGGAAAATCCCAAATATTAAATAGAACTTCCTTTCCGTCCACCAAGATGTTGTGGCTATATATAGATTCTGCAAGGAAAAAAAAAAAAAAAAAAAAATACATGAGATCGGTCACAACAGAGCTCACTCCGGGAATTAATATTGCACGAGTGTTTGGTTTGCATGAAAGCTTTCTTGCGTGTTCAGGACAACTTGACTCCATCAATATCCACACAGCCACATCTGCTTCTGTTCATCCTAATAGCCTGGCTTTATTTCATTACGTCTGTACGTAGGCTTCCAAAGTAAAGCTCAGACAAATTATGTTATCCTACAGTTTCTAAGTTAATTAGGCAGCTTCTTTAGTTGAGATGAGCTGCATCATCTAAAGATAGTTTTATTATGACATTAGCGTCAAACAAGGGAACAATGGGTACAGCCCATTCTGCAGTAATGACATTAATGAAGACATCAGTACAGTAGAAAATCTGCACCTCAATAGGTCTCTATGAAAGGATTTCTTCCCAGTAGCCAAATTATTTCCATTGGCTTAAACAAGAACCTATTACTACTACAAAATAAGTCCACGATTAGTAATTCTACAATACAAGTTAAAAAAAAAATTATAAACAAAAATTGCATACAAATTATATATACACTTTTAAAGGAACCCTGTTACAAGAGAAGTACAGGGGCTACATTAGAAAATGCTGGTAGTCAAGCTAATCCCTCTGGCTTGAATACTTTGACCTGGAGCCATGTCATGTACAGCAAGAGTCAGGGGAAGGAAAAAAAAAAAAAAAAAAAAAAAAAAAAAAAAAGTTGTGAAACCTCCATCTGTATGCTTTCCAGGTCAATGGATTAAGGCTAGGTTGACATCTGTACAGGTGGCTCCCACTGCAGGTCCTCACCTGTTCCTGCAGCCACAACCACCCGCACAGAAAAATTAGCTGGATGGGTGCATGAGCCATTAATCCTAATGGAATGCTGCACGCACTGGGAACTGCACCGCACTTGCAGTTCCCATGCAGGCTGCGATTCCTAAAATGCTGCAGGGACCTTTTCCCTGCCTTTAAGATGGCGCAGCAGCCCACTCAAATACATAGACTGCAGTGCCCATACAAATGTATTTAAGCAAGCGGGTGAGCATGACAGCTAGCATTTTCTGCAACCACTTTTGGACCAGCTGGCCACATTTTACTGCAGGTGGCTTGTACAGGGACAGCGATGTACCTGTACATTGCTCCCTTCTTCCAGAAGGAGGGCACAAATGCTTCCCCCCCCCAGCAACCCTCCCCCCCACCTCCTGCTGTGATTGGGCATAGCGGGATTCTGTCAGCAGGGGTCAGCCAATGATTTGACTGAGACCTGCTATGAGCAGACTGCTTCCACTCAGTTAGCTGGTGAAATGCTTTCCAGGCTCAAAAAAAAATAAAAAAAATAAAAAAAAAAAAAAATTCTAAATGCACTTTTTTCCTGCAAAAGAATGGCATTTATATTTAAAAAATAATGTGAACTTATCCTTTAAAGTATCTGTTGAAAGGAAAAATCCTCTTTTGCAGTGGGGCTGCCCCTGCACTGCAAAAGTTAAATGCTAGTTTAGTTCTAGGGGTGCAGTTTTAAATACCCAATCTAATGCTCCCCTGGCAGCTGGTGCGCTTCTCTACACTCCAGAAGTGAACAGTCCTTCAGTGTCCTTATGTCCAGTGCAGAGGTATGGGACCTGCAGTGGACTTTAACATCAGAGGACCTGCAACAACCAGAGTTTAGGCTGCAGTGACTGATTCTACAGACTGCAGGAGCAGAGGATCAGATAAGACATGCTTTTTGTAGCCTCCTACACCTAACTGAGCATTTAAACCTTGCAGCGCTAGGGCAGCTCCATTGCAAGTAACAAATTTTCCTTTCCCTGGAGTTCAGCACTGAGGCTCAGTTCTCATATGTGCGGGTGGAAGCAGCTGCAGGACCTGCACTTCATCCCCACAGCTGCAACCACCCGCACACAACGTGGAACCCACAGACAGGTGCCATTAATCCTAATGGGTGGCCCCCCACACTGGAAATCACACCTGCGCTACAGTGCAATTCCCATGTGGACTGCGATTTCTGGCAAGATGAAGGGACCTTTACCCTGCGTTTTGCAAGGCACACCAGCCGTCTCCAATGGACTGCTGTGCTCACATAAATGCAGCCCATACAACATGTGGAAGTGTGAACCTAGGCTAATAGTGCAGCACAGTGGCTTAGAGTTTAGCACTTCTGCTTTGGATCATCAGCTCACATCCCAACCATGACACTACTTGCATGGACTTTTCATGGTCTCCATGTGCTTGCCTTGGCCTCCCACACTTCAAAGACATGCTGGTGGGCTAATTTGCTCCTGTCTAAATTGGCCCTAGTATGTAAGAACGCGAGTTAGGGACCTTAGATTGTACGCTCCTGTACAACAGGGACTGATGTGAATGTACAATATATGTAAAGTGCCATGTACATTGGCGGCACTATATAAATCCCTAAAAAAAAAAAAAAAAAAAAAAAAAAAAAAAAAAAAAAAAAAAAAAAAAAGGAATATCGTACAGATGTCTTCAAAAATTTCCCCTAGAAAATCGTACTAGCTTTTGCAAAGCAGCAATGTTGGAAACTAAACGTCGACAGAACACTATAGCAGACTGCATTTAGCATAGTTTACCCAATCCTGCCCCAGCATCTGACAACACAGCACATTTACACAGTACACTCAGCGCAGAGTAAAGCCAGCCATGCAATTTTTTTTTCCTGTAACCACGGGTTGCAGAAAAAAAAAAAAAAAAAAAAACACAAACAAATTGCTCAACCAACTGTTGAAGGGGGAATCCCTCTTGCAGCGCTATGGTGTTCGACGTGGGGAGAACAGCGATTATTGCTAGTGGCTATAGCACTGGCAAAAATCGATAAAAAAAACCCACAGCATTTTATACTTACCAGTCAATGGCTCCCTCTGCTGTCTAGGCCAATGAGGGAGAGCCACTGCTCTTGTGCACATCACTGGATCAAGAAGGGGCTCAGGTCAGTATGGGGGGGGGGGGGGGGGGGGGTGGGGGCTGTTGCACAGATTTTTTTTACCTTCATGCATAAAAAAGGTAAAAAATACCTTTACAACCAGCATACAACAATGAACAATTGAAAACTAATGAAACAGATACATTGTATTCTCTGCAAACATCTCTCAAATATCAAAGTGTGTTTGCAGATAGTAAGACAAAAGGCTTGCAAAATGTTTCTCATGGCCTTTTAAAACCTTCACCAAAAGGCTGACCTTTATTCCTACAAGATCAATAAACACACCGTGCCCATGGAGGTCAGTGGGAACTCAGCCAACACAAAGGAACCAGCAGCCCATATTCCAGCATACTTGGTGTAGATGGTCTTATGCCTCCACAGGTTACAAAAAGCAAACCTCACCTCTGCCTTTTGATTTTATGGCGAGTACTTTAAACCAGGACAAGCAGAATGCATACAATTACATGTCCTGTTTTGTTTTTTTTTTAGCTCTGTCTAGGGGCTGTGTGATTATTTGGATTTTAAAGAAAAAAAAAAAAACAAAAACAAAACACAAACAAGGAGATAGGCCCAGTGTACCACTGCAGTGAGCCCCCCACAGTGCAAGGGTTAAATGTTAATTTAGTATAGGGGTGAGGTGCAGGGGCGGACTGATAATTTGGAAACTCTGGCACTGCCCGAGGGCCCGGGGTCAGTAGGGAGCCCCATGAGATGCCCCTGGTACCTTTTCTTTTTCATAGACTGAGTTTTGGCAAGGACACAGGGGCCCCATGATCCCCTATTACCTGGGGGCCCCATGAGTTGTCAGTCCGCCCCTGGTAAGGTGTAACACTTACCTCATTCCTTGCTGCGGAGCGGTCCCTGCAGCCGTGCGACCAATCCCTTGCTGCCAATCTAAGGTGCTTCAGGCTGCGGTTGCATGGCCATATTCTCATGTACACTGCGGGGTTAATGGCCCTGCAGCGCACATAATGCAGGAGCGAGGGGACAGTGTAAGGGATACACCTTATCCTTGCACCACTGGACTATGAGTATATAACCCTTTGTAAAGTGAAAGGGTAGGGGGCCCATGCCTAGCTGTCAAGCCATAACATGGTTCACAGAAAGACTAATGTGTCTGGATCGTCACGCTTTTTTTTTTTTTTTTTTTTTTAATTTGTCAAGCTTTGTATTTTTCATGTGCTCCCATTAAAGTGGTTGTAAAGGCAGAAGGTTTTTGTTACCCTTATGCATGAAGGTATAAAACCTTTAGTGTACAGCTCTCCCCCTTAGCCATCCTCACCAACACCCCCCCCCCCCCACCAATATATACCTATGCCCAATTTTGATCCAGTGATGTGCATGAGACATATCGGGCCCCTCGCATCTCACTGTCACTGGCTTAGAAAAAGCAGCTGGAGCCATTAGCCACACCAGTGAGAAGGGAACAGGGGGTGGGGCTCAGCCACTATTTTTAACCACAGTTTGTCTATAAAGACAAAGTTTAGTTAAGAAAAAAAAGGTGCTCCCGAGCATTTAACCTCCCCCTCCAAAGGGGAGGAAAAAAAAAAGTACTTTGAATGGCTATAGAGAAGAGAATACTACAGATAAGCAGGTACAACTTATGCAGGAGGATTAGTTTCATCCCTGTAACACCTGAGGCCAGTCACTTCACAGAGTATATGCTTACAGCCACTTTAAAGGGTTACTTCACCTTTAAAAAAAAAAAAAAAAAAAAAAAAAATGAACCAACACCCTACACTCTCTCCAAACCCCATTCCCACCCGCCTTTCTTGGGTCCCCGCTATACTTGCCTTCATTGGTGATGAGCTGTCAGTGCCCCATGCACTCTAGGCAATGGTTCGGGAATTTGAAATCCCTATTCTTCTCCATCTTTCTGTAAGGCACCTGGGACGGATCAGAACAATTGTGATTGGTCAGCACCAGCATGTGACCTCTTACAAATTGGAATCGCTCTGATCTGTCCTGGAAGCCCTACAGAAAGAAAGTAAAAAGAGCAGGGGATTTCAAATCCCTGGACTGTTACACCAGCTACATGAGCACTGACAGCTCATCAGCCAAGGAGGCAAGTACAGTGGGGTCCAGGAGGGGGAGGGGCAGGGTAAGTTCACCTTTTAATTTTTTCGGAAAATGTGAACTCTTTAAAATATCAAAACTGCAACTTTACAAAAAGACTTCTCAGAAACAGTCAGGATTCAGATGTGTACTTACCGAGATCCCCATACTCTCCAATGAAGCGTCTTGTTAGAAAGCGGACGGTCAGCGCTGTACGGAGCAGAATCAAAGTCCACAATTAGGAAATCGTAAAAGCAACACAGACATAACATTTACATGTCATTACCTCCGATCTGTCACATTGAGGTCGGACCTATAGATAACCGTGTGTGACTAGACAAGTCCATTTACATCAAGACACCCAGAGACCGATTTGGAACCTCTGATCAGGTGCGCATGAAAACCTGAAAGCTGGCCATACACTATAAAAATCTGATTGTACAATTTCTGTACCATCTCCTTTAGATTTACCAGAACCATGAAAAAAAAACCGAGGACCAAAGTAAACAACGCTTTCAATTTGTATCCAGTCAGGCAGGTCCTTGTACAACATTGTTGATGGAAAAAATCTAAAGATTGTACAATCAGATTGTACAGTGTACCCTATGACCAATTTGTCAGGAACACAGCGGGGTATGAGAAGTAGGAACATGCGCAGGTGCACATTCCTGGTTTCCTCTGCAATGGCAGAGAGCATTGTATGTGAGAACGCAAAACATATCTAAAAACGCAAGAACATAACATAGAAAGTGATGGCACAAAAAGACAGACTTTTTTGTGGGTGGGTTTTTTTTGGGGGGGGTTTAACCAAATGTATAATATTGAAGCTTACCTGCAACTTGCAATGTGGTGGCTGCATTTGTTTAATTTTAAGGCCAAGTACATTTTTCTAAGTACACACAATGCCAGTTGATCCTGCCAAAAACCAGTGTTATGCCCCATTCACATCTAATGATTTGGGATCACTGCAATCCTGCCCGTCATTCAAAATCACACTGCAATGCTGGCAAAACATAGCGCATGTGTGTCCCATTCGTTTTTTTAACCCTTCCTGCCACCAACTTCTAGCCCACGGGGGGGGGGGGGGGGGGGGGGGGTGGGGGGGGGGGCCACCGAGAGACCAAATATATGCGTACCTCGGGTGGGAAGTGACTAATGGCGCCTAAATCTTGGTGCGTTTTCGCCAAAATTGGCATGCGATTTATTGCGGCAAACTGCATTGCACGAAGCTTGCGGTAAAAAAAACAAACAAACAAAAAAAAAGTGTAGGATGTTTTGGGTGACAAGCTTTGCACGGTGTGGTTTGCTGCTCAACAATCACAGCAAAACAGTGGTTTAGGGACCATTAAAAATGAACGCCGCACAAACACTGGTGCTGTGTTTTTGCCAACATTGCAGTGCGTTTTTGAATCACAGAAAAATCACCCACAATCCCAATCGCTAAAATGTGAACAGGGCTTCATTGTAGCTTCAGCTGTGCACTGAACTTAAATTTCAAACAATGTTATCAGCTTCATCATTTATCTTCTTTGAACTGACACCAACGATGAGGACCCCCATTTCTCCCACTGACACCAACGATGAGGACCCCCATTGCTCCCACTGACACCAACGATGGGGACCCCCATTTCTCCCACTGACACCAACGATGGGGACCCCCATTTCTCCCACTGACACCAACGATGGGGACCCCCATTTCTCCCACTGACACCAACGATTGGGACCCCCATTTCTCCCACTGACACCAACGATGGGGACCCATTTCTCCCACTGACACCAACGATGGGGACCCATTTCTCCCACTGACACCAACGATGGGGACCCATTTCTCCCACTGACACCAACGATGGGGACCCATTTCTCCACCTAATACTAAAGTTGCATTGTTTCCTCTCACTGATGCCAGGACAATTTCTGTCCCCAATGGTCACAATCCAGCCCCCCTAAAGCCGGCAGGACAGTAAACTGGCTTTGTTTAGAGAGTTTGGAGAACCCTCCTGTTATACATTATAGAAATGGGGAGATGGGGTTTATGTAGTTCAAATCAATAAAGCAGAGCAGGGTGACAATGCTGCCCCTTCAGTGACACCGTGGGTGAGTGCGGTCACCCTAGGAAAAAGGGTGTTACTGGCAGGATCACCAGATATAAATATAAAAAATGAATGCATCCACCACATCTAAAGACTGATAAGATGCAATATATACACTTGTTGCCACATAGGCTTCCATTTTTTTTTTCCCCCAAATGATGTGCGATCCAATCAAAACGATTAAATCCACAAACTGGACAGCCATAACTTCACATCTGAACAATAAAGACTCAATTTAGATCAGATTTGACCAAAAGAATATCAAAAGAGATCCACTTTTCTGTGTGTGGTACATCAACTGATTAGTTCTATCAGGAGAGAACAAATGGAAAAGAAAGTGATCATGCATCGAAGTGTGTATGGCCACCAGGAAATGATTGATTGTTGCACTGATTGGCAGCATTATGTTCATGACTTCCATTGTACTTCAGTTGATCAGAATATCAGATCACATGGCGGAAACAGATGATCGCTAACTTTCCATCATAAATCACAATCACATCTCAACTATTGAATGAATCAATTATTCCTATCTGGAGAGATCAGAAAAGAAATTGATAATTTTATCAAAGTGTTTATGGTCAGCCTAGGGCAGGACATTGATCGTTTTGTTGTGATCAGTCACACCAAGATGCTTGTTCATGAATATGATCGTATTTGATCAGTGAGATCATGAGAGCACATGGTGGAAACTGATGTGATCAACTACTTATGATCATATAATAACTCAGGGCTTGAAATTTCCACTCGCCTGCTCGCCAATGGCGAGTGGACATTATGGTGGGGGAGTGTGTCCCCCCAGGGCCGTCTTGCTGAGCAGGCTCGGAGCTCAGGCCGGATCTGTCATTGGCACTGGGAACCTCACACTGCTCAATAGCTGAGCGCAGGGAAAGCAAAGTAAGGAGTATGTGTTGTGCTCTCTGCCTCCCCCTAGAGTGCAGTACCCAGATCTGTGAGTGAACAACGAAGTACTGCAACTTTTTATGGTGGGGGAGGGTGTACGTGTACATACGTGTATGTACACGCCTGTGTGCACAGATGTGTGCGCGTAGGTGTGTGCGTGCGTTTGTTGATGGCGAGTAACTCTAGGGCCAGGCTAGTAGCTCAGGACTTCAAATTTCAAGTCCTGTAACTATCGATAAAAATCTCCTTTCCTCCTGTGTGTGGCATATCAATCGTTTATTCCCATCGGGAGAGAAGAATTAGAAAATAAATTGATCATTTATCAAAAATGTGCATGTCAAAGGGTGCAAAATTATTGATCATTTTGTCTTGATCAGTCACACCGAGATGCTTCGTTCAGGAATACAAATTGGTCAGATTATGAGAGTACATGGTGGAAACAGACGCGATCAACAACTTCTGATCATATCTTATCCAATTCCACTTCCATGTGTGACATACCAATCGAATTGTCCTATTGGGTGAGAACATTTGGAAAAATGTTCGCCAATTTGGAAACTGGTCATTTATCAAAGTGTGTATGGTCACCATAGGGAAGACAATTGTTGATAGTTTTATTATGAACAGCAGCATTGAGATACTTTGTTCATGAATACGATCGTAATTTGATTGGTTAAATTATTAGAATACATGGTAGAAACAAATGTGATCAATAATTTATAATATCTTAAGGATTCATCGAAATCCACTTCCCTGCATGTGTGGCACATCAATCGATTATACCTATTGGGAGAGATCATTCGGAAAAGAAATGCATAATTTATTAAAGTGTGTATAGCCACCATAGTGCAGAAAATTGATTGTTACATTATGATCAGCAGCTGAGATACTTGGTTCATGAAAACGATCGTAATTTGATTGGTCAGATTATGGGAGTACATGGTGGAAACAGATGTGATCAACAATTTATCATTTTAACCATTGATCAAAATCCACTTCCCCATGCGTGTGGCAGATCAATTGATTATTCCTAAAATTATTGCCAATTTTGCATTGATTGGCTGTACCGAGATATTTTGTTCATAATACGATCAGATTATGAGATTACATGGTGGGAAAATAGATGATTTACGATCATAACCTATCAAATTACCCTCCCCCCATGTATGGCATATCATATCGATTATGCCTATCGGTAGAAGTTGCTCGAAAAAAAATGATCAATTTGGAAATTGATCATTTATCAAAAGCATGTATGATTACCACAGGGCTGAAAATTCTTCAGCATTTTATTATGATCAGCAGCACTGAGATACTCTGTTCATGACTATGATCGTAATTTGATTGGTCAGATTATGAGAGTACATGGTGGAAACAGATGTGATTGACAATTTATGATCCCATCTCAACTATTGATTGAAATCCATTTCCCCATGTGCGTGATAGAATATTCCTATTGGGAGAGATCATTCAGAAAAATGATCAATTCAGAAATCGATCATTTATCAAAAGCATGTATGATTACCATAGGGCAGAAAGTTATTACTCATTTTGCATCGACTGGCAGCACTGAGATACTTTGTTCAGAATACAATCGATCAGATTATGAGAGTACATGGTGGAAACAGATCATTTACAATCATAACCCATCAAAGGAATTCCCCTCCCCCCGTGTGTGGCATATCAATTATATAATCGATCTACAATTTATGATCCTATCTTAAATATTATTCAAAATCCATTTCCCCATGTGTGTGACATATCAATTGATTATTCCTATCAGAAGAGATCGTTCAGAAAAATGATAATCATCACTTCAGAAATTGATCATGTACGATTACCATGGGGCAGAAAGTTATCGCTCATTTTGCATCGATTGGCGGCTCCAAGATACTTTGTTCCTAAAGCTGGCCATACATTTATAGATTTTCGAACGAGAATATTCATTCAAAAAAAAAAAAAAAAATATTTGTCTTTTGCTTCTAACATTAAATTTTAACCACCTCCTGCCCCCCATATGGTACAATGACGGGCGCAAGGTGGTTCTCTCGTTCTGGGAGGACGTCCGTCCTCCCATTCTCACTGCGCATACACGGCTCAGGGAGCGCGCATGTGCCTCGGACACAGCGGATCACCAATCACGGAAAGAGCCGAAGATGTCAGCTTGGTCATGTGATCAGCTGTGTCCAATCACAGCTGATCGCATGTAAACACGGAAATGCCGGTTGTAGGCATTTCTCTCCTCTCGAGCTGTCACGCTGACAGAGGAGAGGAGCCGGTAATCGGCATCCCTCAGAGGGGAAATGTACACTGATCATCAGGGCACTGATGATCAGTATGCCCTGATGATCAGTGTAGCCCCAGCAGTGCCACCTGTCAGTGCCCATCAGTGCCATGTGCCAGTGCCATCTTTCAGTGTCACCCATTACTGCCAGTCAATGCCACCCATCAATGCCAATCAGTGCCACCTATCAGTGCCCATGTGCAGCCTCATTAGCACACACCAGCGAAGGAGAAAAATCACTTTACAAAATTTTATAACAAAAACTAAGAACAACATTTTTTTTTCTTCAAAATTTTCAGTGGTTTTTGGTTTAAAAAAAAATAAAACCCAGGAGGTGATTAAATACCACCAAAATAAAGCTCTACCACGAAAAAAAAAATGATAAAAATTTCATATGGGTACAGTGTTGCATGACCGCGCAATTCAAAGTGTGACAGTGCTGAAAGCTGGAAATTGGCCTGGGCAGGAAGGGGTAGAAGTGCCCTGTAGGCTAGCGGTTAAAATGAACGCAATTTCTGAACGATAACCACATACACTGGCCAAAAATTCATTTGATCCAGAAGAGTTTTCTTGCCTGCCCCTTTGAATATTCCCATCACTGCCGTTGAAAACAAACCAAACATCAATTTGACCCTACTAATGGTTAACAAATATTCTTGGAAAAAAAAAAAAAAAAAAAAAAAAAACTATACATGTATGGCCAACTTTATACGATCGATCAGATTATGAGAGGACGTGGTAGAAACAGATCATTCACGATCATACCCAATCGAATCTCCTGCCCTGTGTGTGGCATATTGATTATTTCTATTAGAGATCAAATCACAAAATCAATATTGATCAATTTTTTCTATTGGAAATCGAGCACAAAATCAATATTGATCAATTATTTGTATTGGAGATCGAGCACAAAATCAACCAAACATTTCTAGAAGTGTGTCTGGCCGATATTCGATCCATTGTAACTTTCGCAGGAATACATTGTTGCATTGGGCAGCTCGCGGTCAGTCTGCCCTCTCCTATGGGGTGACGGTAGGTGCCCCACCACTCACCTGACTTCCCCACTCCGTCTGCCCCCAGCACCAGGATATTGGCTTCCATCTTGAGGGCGGTAGGTCCGGTCATCTCTGGCGGGGTGAAGGTAGGTTGGTGTTCGGGGCTCAGGCTGACAGATCTCCGGAGCGGGATTTTTAGAACCATTTGCAGCCACAGCTCCGCTCTCCCCGGCAGGACCGGTCAGCTCTCCTCTCCGCTCTCCTTCGACTGACCCCCGCACAGGACCGCAGCGCAAGCATTTCAATGGAGCGTACCACTCCGCACCGCCCCCACGGGGGGGGGGGGGGACCACCGGCGGAAGAGCGGTGATTGGACGATCCTGCTGTGCGACATTCCAGTTGTTTTTTTCTAAATTAATCTAGAAGAGACGAGACGGGTCGGATATATATTCGTTTTACAGGATTAAAAATAGTGATCCGGTTTGGTACATTCCATGTGACTGAGGGGGGGGGGGGGGGGGGGGATGTCAGTTTTGGATAAGGTTGTCAGGGGGAGATCACACCTTCTTCTAGTCTGTCTGCCCAAAATGAACAGCTTGCCCTGACCAGGAGCTGGTTACTTTAACTGACAATTGCGCGGTCATGCAATTACATTTATGTCCTTTTTTTCCCCACAAACGGAGTTTTTCTTTTGGTGGTATTTGATCACCTGTGCTTTTTTTATTTTTTGCGCTATAAAAAAAAAAAGACCAACAATTTTTGAGGAAAAAAAACTATATTTTTCACTTTTTGCTATTAACCACTCACCCTCCAGAAGATTTACCCCCCCCCCCCCCTCTGACCAGGCCATTTTTTGCGTTACGGCGCTGAGTGACTTTGACTGACAACTGCTCGGTCATGCAACGCTGCACCCAAATGAAATTTTCATCCTTTTTTTCCCACAAACAGAGCTGTCTTTCAGTAGTATTTGATCACCTGTGCGGTTTTCATTTTTTTGCGCTATAAAACAAAAAAAGTCGGACAATTTTGAGAAAAAAAAAAACAATATTTTTTACTTTTTGCTATTAAACATTTCCAGTAAAAAATGTAAAAAACTAATTTCTTCATAAATTTAGGCCACAATGTATTTTGCTGCATGTGTTTGCTAAAAAAAAAAAATCCTAATACGTGTAAATAAATTGGTTTACGTGAAAGTTATAGCGTCTGCAAATGGCGGTATATATACTGGAATTTTTTATTTTTTTTTTAATACTAGTAATGATGGCGGTCAGCGACTTATAGCGGTGTGGCAGGAATTCTGACATTGGGTGGGAACTGCCTAACTGCCACCCCAGTGACTCCAATATAGTGATCAGCGCTAATAAAAACCACTGACACTGTACTAATAGCACTGGGCAGGAAAGGGTTAACATCTGGGGAGATCAAAGGGTTAACTGTGTGTGTGTTTTACTGTGTAAGCATGCTGCTATGCAGAGCCATACAAAGCAGTGTGCAGGAGCTGACAGTGGAGAGCTCTGTATTGTTTACATACAGGTCTCTTCCCCGTCAGTGATACTCTCTTCCCGGCGGGGAATCACCGGCCGGGACCCGGTGATCGACAGCTGAAGCTGCCAATGGGAACATGGGTAGGGCGCACGCACCCCCTAACCGGAAATGCAAAAAAAACACACACACACACACACACTTTTGCGCAGCCCTGCTGCCCTGTAGCAGTATTTCTGCTATAGGGCGGTGGGAAAGTAGTTAAAGGAGACCAGATATAGTGAGTGCAGGGTCCGGGGAGACCAGATATAGTGAATGCAGGGTCCGGGGGAGACCAGATATAGTGAATGCAGGGTCCGGGAGACCAGATATAGTGAATGCAGGGTCCGGGGAGACCAGATATAGTGAATGCTGGGTCCGGGGAGACCAGATATAGTGAATGCTGGGTCCGGAGCAGGGGCAGACTGACCATTTGGAAACTCGGGCACTGCCCGAGCGCCCGGGGTCAGTAGGGGGCCCCATGAGATACCCCTGGTACCTTTTTCATAGGTTTTTTTGAGTTTGGGCAAGGACACAGTGGCCTCATGATCCCTATTGCCCGGGGGCCCCATGAGTTGTCAGTCCGCCCCTGGTCCGGAGAGACCAGATATAGTGAAAGCAGGGTCCAGGGAGACCAGATATAGTGAATGCAGGGTCCGGGGAGACCAGATTTAGTGAATGCAGGGTCCAGGGAGATCAGATATAGTGAGTGCAGGGTCCGAGGAGACCAGATATAGTGAATGCAGGGTCCGGGGAGACCAGATATAGTGAATGCAGGGTCTGCGGAGACCAGAACCATATAGTGAGTACAGTGTCCTGGATTTAGTAACACTTTAAGTTGTAATGGTGACCACCTAAAAACAGCCACGTGCTACTTCCTACAATATACAGTGCATGCATAAAATATTCAGACCCCTTCACTTTTATCAATGTTGTTATGTTGCAGCCTACAGTTGTTTGAATTCCTTTTTTTTTTTCATTAATCTACACTCAGTACCCCAAAGTGAAAAAAAAAAAACATTTTAGTAATGTCTGTCAATTTGTTATAAAGAAAAAAACTGAGATATCACATGTACCTAAAGTGTTACTAAACCCACAATAGTAAAATCAGTCTGTATATGAAGCAAAGCATGCTTGTTATACTCATTGTGGAACCTAAGGGGTTAATCGTCTGCATTGTGTAAAAAGGCCATTTGATCCTGTCCTCTCTGTTCCTCCCCTTTTTCAAGCAACCACCTCATATCTCCTGATAAGACAGACTGAACCATAGGCATTTTGCACATGCTCAGTTTAGTGTGTATTGCTAAAGAGGTTTTTTTTTTTTTTGGGAGAGTGCATGTGAGCATCACAGGGCCAATCATCACTGTCCAGACAGAGGTCAGGGGTTTTGCATCCTCCTAGAGGATGAAATGAAAATTCCTCCTACACACTTCAGCTAGTGCTGGGGCCGGACACAGATAGAAGTCACAAGACTGCCATATACTGCAGATGAGAAAAGGAATTTTGCAGTTTATATTTACTAAAATATTTGCTTTTCCATGTTGTGTGTACTGTGGGAGACCAGATATAGTAAATGCAGGGTTCGGGGAGACCAGATATAGTGAATGCGGGGTCCGGGGAGACCAGATATAGTGAATGCAGGGTCCTGGGAGACCAGATATAGTGAATGCAGGGTCCGGGGAGACCAGATATAGTGAATGCAGGGTCCGAAGAGAGCAGATATAGTGAATGCAGGGTCCGAAGAGAGCAGATATAGTGAATGCAGGGTCTGGGAGACCAGATATAGTGAATGCAGGGTCCGGGGAGACCAGATATTGTGAATGCAGGGTCCGAAGAGAGCAGATATAGTGAATGCAGGGTCTGGGAGACCAGATATAGTGTATGCAGGGTCTGGGGAGACCAGATATAGTGAATGCAGGGTCCATGGGAGACCAGATATAGTGAATGCAGGGTCCTGGGAGACCAGATATAGTGAATGCAGGGTCCTGGAAGACCAGATATTGTGAATGCAGGGTCCGGGAGAGCAGATATAGTGAATGCAGGGTCCGGGGAGAGCAGATATAGTGAATGCAGGGTCCGGGGAGACCAGATATAGTGAATGCAGGGTCCGGGGAGACCAGATATAGTGAATGCAGGGTCCGGGGAGACCAGATATAGTGAATGCAGGGTCCGGGGGAGACCAGATATAGTGAATGCAGGGTCCGGGGAGACCAGATATAGTGAATGCAGGGTCCGGAGTTTTAGTAACATTTAAGTATTCAGACCCTTTACTCATTATTTTGCTGAAGCACCTTTGACAGCAATTACAGCCTCGTGACATTTTGGGAATTACGCGACAAGCTTTGCACACCTGGATTGGGGGATTTTCTGCCATTATTCTTTGCAAATCCTCTCAAGCTCAATCAGGTTGGATGGGGATCGTCGGTGGACAGCCTTATTCATGTCTCTCTAGAGATGTTCAGTAGGGTTCAGGTCTGGCTGGGCCACTCTAGGACATTCACAGAGTTCTCCCTAAGCCACTCCTGTGTTGTTTTGGCTGTGTGTTTAGGATCACTGTCATGTTGGAAGGTGAACCTTTGGCCCAGTCTGAGGTCCTGAGCACTGTGGAAAACATTTTTATTGACAATATCTCTCTACTTTGCTCCATTCAGCTTTCCCTCAACGTTGACAGTCTCCCAGTCCCTGCTGCTGCTGAAAAACGCTCCCACAGCATGATGTTGCCACCACCATGCTTCACTGTTGGGAAGGTATTAGGCAGGTGATGAGCTGTGTCTGGTTTCCTCAAGACATAACATTTAGAATTAAGGCCACACAATTCAATCTTGGTTTCATCAGACCAGAGAATCTTGTTTTTCACACAGCCTGAGAGTTCTTCAGGTACTTTTTTTCTAAACTCCAAGTGGGCTTTCATGTGGTTTGCATTGAGGAAAGGCTTCCGTCTAGCCACTCTGCTATAAAGCCAAGATCATTGGAGGGCTGCAGTGATGGTTGTCCTTCTGGAACTTTGTCCCATCTCCACACAGGATCTCTGGGGCTCAGTCAGAGTGACCATCGGGTTCTTGGTCACCTCTCTTGTCAAAGCTCTTCTCCCCCAATTGCTCAGTTTGGCTAGGTGACCAGCTCTTGGAAGAGTTCTGGTTGTGCTATACTTCTTCCATTTGAGAATTATGGAGGCCACTGTGCTTTAGAGAACCTTCAGTGCAGCAGAATTGTTTATAGCTTTCCCCAGACCTGTGCATTGCAATAATCCTGTCTCTGAGCTCTGCAGGCAGTTCCTTTGACCTCATGACTTTTGCTCTGATACAGTATGCATTGTCAGCTGTGAGGCCTTTTATAGAGGTGCGTGCCTTTGCAAATCATGTCCAATCAATTTAATTTGTCACAAGTGGACTCCAGTCAAGGAGAAGAAAACATCTCAGCAACGATCAAGAGAAATAGGAAGCCCCTGAGCTAAATTTCAGGTGTTGTTGCAAAGAGTCTGAATACTTATCTATCCATTCAGTCGTATCCGACCCTTGGCAATTGCATGGACCGTCACTCGTAAGCAACTTTTTCCATGAATTCTCTTAGCAATTATTTTACAGGGTAGGTTGTCAGGTCTTTCCCCAACCCCTACCATGCAGGAGATCCCACGTGACCAGGGATGAAACTAGGACAAGTTAGACAGGAGCCAATTAACCTACC